CCTACACAGCTTGCTCCCAAGACCCATGAGATCATGACCTGAGCTGAAACCAAGAGTCAGACGTTTAACCAACTGAGCCACCCAGGCACCCCCCTTTCTGTATTGAGCACATCATGAAGGCCTGGCAGCCTCAGTAGGTAGTTACCTTGCTTTTATATCAGTGTTTATCAACAGAATTAGAATTTTCTATTTCTATTTTAATTTTGTAATCCTTGCATGTTTTGAATAGCCAGATAAACAATACTGGTTCCCTTTTATTAGATGTGTTTTGGGCACTTTATCTAATTTTTTTTTTTTTATTAGAGAGAGAGGCACGCAGATGCATGTGTGAATGAGCAGAGGGAGCGGGAGTGGCAGAGAGACAAGCAGACTCCCCACTGAGCAGGGAGCCCGACTCAACTTGGGGCTCCATCCCAGGACCCTGAGATCATGACCTGAGCCAAAGTCAGACGCTTAACTTACTAAGCCACCCAGGTGCCCCTAAATTATTTAACTAAATCTGTAAGATAATCCAGAAAGGTAGGTAGTTTTATCACTGTTTTATAGTTCTGAGATTTGGAGGAGTTAAGTGATGCTCAAGCTCACATAGCTAGGTAGCAGCAGAGTAGGAATTTGAAGCTAGGTCTTTCTGGTTTCCTCACCACTAGACCATACTTTCTTTTTGGCAACCCATATTTTTTTGCCACTCCATGGTTCACCAGTGGTACACTTAAAGCTATCAAGAAAATTCTTTTTTGCTTTGCCCAGCATCATCTGCACATTGATTCAGTGGGTTCTACTGATCTTTTATAAGTATTCATAAGTGGCAGGAAACTATTTAAACAGCATTTTCACCAAGATAGTTATCTTCTGATGGTTAAAAAAGAATGTATAGCTATCATATATGGATGATCAAACTAGTGGGTTTGGAAAAAGTAAGCTTGGAAAAGTAAAGGCATACTAGAAACTTTATTCTGATGAGTAAGTATAGTAATGATTTTATTTTTTTATTTTAAGTAGGCTCCATGCCCACGTGGTGCTTGAACTCACGACCCTGAGAGTGAGAGTCGCATGCCCTACCAACTGAGCCAGCCGAGCACCCCTAATAATGATTTTAAATTACAGAAGACCAACTCACACCATACACAAAAATCCGTTCCACTAGATTCAGTCCAAACATGAGAAATAAGACAATAAAGCTTTTGTTTTCTTTTGGGAGAATATCTTCCCAGCATTGCTGTAGGCAAAGATTTCTTAAATTGGACATTAAAAAAAGATTAACCTTAAAGAAAAACGGTGTTAATTGGAAAATACTGAAAATGAAAACTTCCAAGAACATTGCTAGAAGAATAAAAAGGCAAGCCGCAGAGCAGGAGAAGATATCTGTAATATGTATAGATGACAGGATTGTGTCTAGAATATGTGAAGAAGTTCTAGATACTAGAAGGAAAAGACAGACTGGTACATAAATGAGCAGAAGTTTTGAACAGACACCCTGAAGAAAGCTGTCTAAATGGCTGATAAATTTGAAACAGTGCTCAGTTTTATTAGCCATCAGGGAAAATCAAATTGGTATTATAATGATATACCACCACACACGCATAAGAATGGTTAAAATGAAAAGATTGACAACATAAAGTGCGAACAAGGATGTGTAATTGTGGGAATTCTCATATACTGCTGTTTGGAGCATAAAGTTTTATAATTGCTTTGAAAATCTGTTGGTAGGGGCGCCTGGGTGGCTTGGTTGGTTGGGTGTCTGACTCTTGGTTTCGGCTCAGGTCATGATCTGAGGGTCATGGGATCGTGGGATTGAGCCCTGTGTCCTCCAGCTCCCTGCTCAGCAGGGAGTCTGCTTGAGGATTCTCTCCCTCTGCCCCTCCCCCAATTTGCTTGCTCTCTCTAATGTAAATAAATAAATCTTTATTTATTTTTTATTTTCTTATTTTTTTAAAGATTTTATTTATTTGATAGAGAGACACAGCGAGAGAGGGAACACAAGCAGGGGGAGTGGGAGATGGAGAAGCAGGCTTCCCGCCAAGCAGGGAGCCCGATGTGGGGCTCGATCCCAGGACCCTGGGGCCATGACCTGAGCTGAAGGCAGACACTTAACGACTGAGCCATCCAGGCACCCCAATAAATCTTTAGAAAAGAGAGAGAGAGAAAATCTGTTTGGTGCTTTCTACTCAAGCTGAATATGTGCTGCTCTGTGACTCCGCAGTTCTCTGCATACATTCAGTAGGTATATGTGCATACATTCAGTAATAGATATGGATACAAGTGTTCTTAGCAGTGCTAATTGTAATGGCCCTGTGCTGGAAACAACCCATACTCTTGTCGGCAGCACGTGGGTAAATACATTGTGGCATATTCATACAATAGCATACTGTAAAAGAGAATGAATCAGCTTTTGTATTATATAATAAAATAAATGAATCTCACAAAAATAATGATGAATAAAAGATGCAACTCACAAAAGGTTATATACTGTATGATCTCTTCTAATATAGTTCAGAAATAGGTAGAACATACCTGTAGTGTTAGAAAGCAGGGTAGTGGTTACCTGTGATGGTAGTGGTGGCTCATGGAGTAGAGGGGCTTCTCATGTGCTGGTGACATTGCGACACTTGATTTGGGTGTTGGTTACCCAGATGTGTTTACTTTGTGAAATTCATCAGATTATACGTTGTTGTGATTTGTGTACTTCTTTGTATGTAGGTTATACTTCAGTAAAAATTTTCTGAAGGGGAGGCAGAACTTAAATGGCTTTATTTCCCGTAACTTATTTAACTATGATGTTATAAATTGGAAATCAGACCATGTCCAACTTAAACACACAGTTTCAAAAGTATTTTCTTTGTTTTCAATGGGAAAGGTTTTTTCTTCTTCTCACATTCTTAACTTTCCCTAAGAAGTTATTATTTGTTAAGCTTGTTCAACTCCATGTTCAAACAGCATTATCCCATTCAGTGCTTACAACAAGAATCTTACAACAAGAAGGAAAATGATCTGAATTGGTTTCAAGTAGACTGAATGGAGTCATTCCAGGGTCCACGTCACCAAGGCCTTCAGGAGAAATAGATAAAGTTGGGAGTTTGGATATTATTTACTTTCTACCTACCTCAAAATTGAAATAAACTAGAAACTCACTTGAGGCTGACCTGTGTATGCTCCACAGTTGGTCATCTGAAGAACTTGCCTTCTCATGAATGAAATTATGGAGTAAAACTATATATTCTTGGTTACTTATAGAGCTCTTATTTCTCCTAGTGACTTTGGTCTAAGCCAGGGAGCAACAAACTACCACAGGTCAAATCCAGCCTGCTACCCCTTTTTGTTAAGTTTTATTGGAACAGAGCTATGCTCCTTGTTTATTATCTATAGCTGCTTTTTGTTGCACTGTATGGCCCACAAAGCTAAAATATTTACTCTCTGGCCCTTTGCAGAGAAAGTTTGCCAACCCCTGGTCTAAGACAATATTGATTATGGCCATATAGTTCTGTATTTATGTTGTTTCACCTTCACCTGTCTTCCCCAGCTGCACTGGTGGAAGGAACCTTGGATTGGGGATCTGTGTAAATTGGCCTGAGGTAGGACCAGTTTAGCAAGAAGCTTGTTGTTTCCATTTACTCTTGGTCCCGTAGGATCACCTAGAATAGAGTAAACGTATTTTCAGTTTGCTAGGAACAGTCCTGCTTTGCATCTTTTGTTCAGGCTGTTATGAAATTCTGATACCATTGCATACTATTATAATAATCACAGAATTCTAGCTGCTCCCTTTTACTCTTCATGCCCCCAGTTTGTAGGATAAATTGTGGGGTCATTCTGTCTGTGACAGTTAACTCTGAGAAGGGTGGTGGGAATAGAAGAGATAGTGACAGCCTATGCAAGGTGGAATGTAAGAGATTAAGTTTTGAAAGCTTGTGTCAGGGGTCTTCAAGACGGTCTCACTGATTCACCAGGATTCACAGGGCTCAGAAGTTGCTGTGCTCATGGTTTTGGTTTATTACAGTGATAAACAGTAAGATAAGCAAAAGCACATGAGGGGATGTCTGGAGAACACCAGGTGCAGGCTTCAAGGTGTTCCTGCCCAGTGTAGTCACACAGGAGATATTTAATTCCCCCAGAAATGACCTGTGGTGAGATGTGCAGTGTGTTCACAGTCAGGGACACTCACCCTAGCCTGTGTGCCCAGGATTTTTGTTGTGGTCAGTCATATAGGCACGTAGCACCATTGTGACTGACCTTGCTTGTGTATATAATCTCTAGAACCTCAGAGAAAAGGAGATGTTCATCATAAATTACATTGTTAGTATAAACTGTTTGCTCAGACTGGTTTTTGGTGCTGCCCAAGGACAGAACTTTGCAAGGGCTCGGAGCTCAGTTCCCAGGAGCTCAGTTCTCAGGAGATAGCCAAGGGCTAGTCTGTAAACAGGCCATTTTGGGGGAATGTGTAGGTTTTGAGCATCCCAGGCCTGCTGAGTTAACCCTTTCCCACACAAGGCCCTACAAGGTATTGAAGCCGGAGTTTGAACCCAGGTAGGTCTGATTCCAAAGTCTTTGCTCTTTCCATAAATAATTTTGAGTGATCTTTTATGCTGAATTGCTAATTAAAAATTCTGGCTGCATTAGATGTGGTACATACTTGGACTATGCCCATCTATCCTGGTAAATATTTCCAGTAAGCTTTCTTTTTCCTCACATGAAGATAAGGAGCCTGATTTGAGTATTTTTCAGTGTTTTTTTAAAGTAATGGTGCTAAGAATTGCTAGTTCTTATTTTCAACAAAGTTTATTTTGTTTTGTATGTTAATGTATTGAAATGTAATTATGAAGAATAGTCTGTAATTACTCCTGTTACACTTAATACAATATTTAATTTAAAGCAGAGAAATGTGGTCATAGAGTTTAGAAAAGTGTTAGTTCACAATTAAGAATTGTCTCCTTTGTAGATGACAGGTTTGAATGAATTTATACAGTTCTCAAGAGCATTTAACCTTTTTTTCTTTTCTTTTTCTTCAGGTATTTGTGGAAACATTAGACAAGTGTTTTGAAAATGTCTGTGAACTGGATTTAATTTTCCATGTAGACAAGGTACTTTCTATATTGTCAAATCTTCTAAACTTTTTATCTGAGAAAAAATGGTAATTTGTATTTCTCAAAGTAAAAATGGATTTAGTGAATAAAACTATTTTTATTCCTTTATTTATTTAGTATAACTCATAACTTATTTTTATATGAGCCAGGCACTGCACTTGGTGTGGTTCAGACCCTGCCAAGAGGACCCGCATCTAGAGGAGGAAACCGTGGCATCAAGAAGTAGCAGTGTGTTCAGTGTTAATGGGGACACAGCTGATCTGTCTGCCTTTGTCTAGGAGGCTGTGAATGGAGGAATTACATTGAACTTGGGTTTTTTAAGGATTATAGGTATTTCACTGACAGAAATGGAGAGGGATGGCTGTAGAGGCAGTGAAATAGAGTACAGGCTTTGGAGGGGGGATTGGTATAGATCCGGGTGGCCTAGTTTTAAAGTGCCTTTAGTGGCACGGATTTAAGATTTTATTTATTTATTTTTTAAGGTTTTTATTTATTTGACAGAGAGAGAGCACAAATAGGCAGAGTGGCAGGCAGAGGGAGAGGGAGAAGCAGGCTCCAAGGAGCCCAACGTGGGGCTCCATCCCAGGACCCTGAGATCATGACCTGAGCCGAAGGCAGATGCTTAACCCACTGAGCTACCCAGGCGCCCCTTATTTATTTATTTTAGAGAGGGAGAGAGAGAGCACATGTGAGAGCAAGTGAGCATGCGCACACAAGCTTGGGGGAGGGAGAGGGACAAGCAGACTCCACACTGAGCATGGAGCCCGATGTGGGGCTCGATCTCAGGACTCTGAGATCACGACCTGAGCTGAAATCAAGAGTCAGACACTCAACCGACTGAGTCACTCAGGCACCCAGTGCCTTGGATTTTAGACTTTGTTCTGAAGCACTTTAATATTTTTAATCAAGTATTTATTGGCATTTATTGTTGCTTTGTTGAACATTGGTGGGTTGTTTTGGTTTTTGTTTTTTGCCAGATCATTTTTTTTCTACATGACAAAGATTGGATTGGTAGGTAGAAGATTAAAGACAGGGATATCAATTAGGAATCTGTTGCAGGAGTCTGGAAAGAAGTGAACTAAGGCAATACAGTAGAGATGAAAAAAAGTGAATTGGCAGGACGTGATGGTCTGCTGAAAGCTGGAGTTGAGAGGAGGGAAGGATGACTGAACTTTCCAGCCACTATTACTGGGTGCTGATGATAAGGAATTTTGGAAGAGAGTCTACTTTTACCATATACAGATTGTTTTCTGTATTAAGTTTATATAACGTAACGGATTGTTTTGGAATGATTAAGCCATTGAATAAAATAGTCTGAAATAATATGCTGAAAATTTTAGCTGAAAATGTGATTTTTAAAAATCAGCTTTATTGAGGTATAATTTACACACATTAAAATTCAGCAGTTTTGAGCATACAGTTAAGTCTTGGCAGATATATGGAGTTATGTAACTGCTACCACAATCAAGATGCAGCACAAGGAAGGAATGCATTTTATTGCTTGTGAACCATCAAAAGAATACTTTTATTATTAGCCAATCCTCTAGATTATATTTCTCGTTTACTAAATGATTTGATTTTATGTATTAACTCACTTTGGACAGAGAACTTAAACTTGATATTTTTAAGAGTCTATTTTTAGTTTTCTACTGCTTTTCTCTAATCACTGTATCTTATGCTTTTTCACACTTAGAAAAACTTCTGTTATTTTTAGGCATTAGGGTTTGCAGTATTCAAAATTATGTTTTGGTACAGGATTCAAATACTTAAAAAAGGTCTTTTTAAAACGACTGTTCAAGGCACCTGGGTGGCTCAGTTGGTTAAGTGTCTGCCTTCGGCTCAGGTCATGATCCCGGGGTCCTGGGCTCAAGTCCCTCCCAGGGAACCCACTTCTCCCTCTGCTCTGCCCCCACTTGCGCTCTCGCTCTCTCTCCCAAGTAAATAAATAAAATCTTTAAAAAAAAATAAAATGACTGTTCAGAGATCATTAGCTTATGTAATCAAGCAATTTCTTAAGAAAATTGAGGAATCTCTTGTAAATGTTGTAGTAAGAGTAAAGTTCTCACATTTTTCCTAGAGAATAAAAGATTTCCTTAATAGAGAAATTAAGCTCCACTCGTGTACAGCTTCCATACGTGACACACAGTTATTTTAAGACTTCTGTTTTACATTGATACGCATTCATTTTAGAAAAATCAGAAAATGCACATAAGTGGAAAATAAATGGAAGTCATCTCAATTGTAGAGATTGCCTAATGTTAGCAGAAAAACAGAGGCATATTAAAAATTTCTACATTTATTTGAACAGAAATTGATTCAAATCGGGCAGCGCCAAACCAGAAGCAGTTAGGAGTACTTCACCAACAGGAGCTAGGGGAGAGGCTTTTATAGAAAAGACACAGAAGCAAAGCCAGGGGATTTTCTGATTGATTACAATAAGCAATTGTATTATTTGGGAAAGCTGAATTGGCTATGATGGGTTGTCTTTAGGTTTTGATTTCTTAATAGGCATGTTTTGGTTTGCTTACTTAAGCTGCTAAGGTATTAGAACCACCTCAGTCTAATTGTTTAATTAACATTAGTGTTAACATTTTAGAGTATATGCATTTCTAGATTTTTTTTGTACAAGTAAGTGCAGAAACAAGTAAGTCTTTAAGAGAAACAGAAATGAGATCATACAGTATGTAGTATGTATAGCCTGTTCCTTTTACACAATAGTGCATCATTGTTTTAAAACCTGTGAAAAAAAATTTTTTTTTTTTAAGATTTTATTCATTTATTTGACAGAGAGAGACAGCGAGAGTGGGAACACAAGCAGGGGAGTGGGAGAGGGAGCAGCAGGCTTCCTGCTGAGCAGGGAGCCCGATGCGGGGCTTGATCCCAGGACCCTGGGATCATGACCTGAGCCAAAGGCAGACGTTTAACGACTGAGCCACCCAGGCACCCCGTAAAACCTGTGAAAATTAACTGTATCCCTTTCTGGGCTAAGTACTTGTTTTAATTTTTTCCAATGCAATGAGGCAAAAAGCTTCAGGATAGCAGGAGTCAGACACCAGTCACATAGACCTTCCTATGCCTACGTTCTCTGTCCAGGACAATACTAGTCTTATTTTAAGGCCTTCTAGGAAATTAGGATTATATTCAACCTTTAAGCCGCCCTGGACCTTCCAGCAGTCCGGAATCTCTTAACTGGCTCAAGCTCACTTTTCCTTAGGGTCTGGTACAGAATTTTGCCCACAACCCTGAGCCTGCTTTTGGACTACATTAGTCCTAAAGTCACCCTGAAGTAGTGGGACAGCTTCCCTATGCAAAATTGGTTTGGATGTGGAGACTGAAGATGGCGCACCTACACCAAGAAAATATGATCTGAAAGGTTTCTCACTCATATAAAAAGGTTTCATAAGTAAAAGTAAAGTCATATTTATTTGATTAAGAGAGCAAGGAAAGAGATCATAATCACTAATGAAATTATAAACAGTAGTATCTCTGATTTAAAAGATGGTGGATATAATATAAATAAAATGTGATCAACCAACTTCATGATGAAAAGTGAAAGTACCAGTTTAAAGTAGATCTGTTATTATTCAGGACACTGAGTGTGAATTGAATGAAACAATCTATTAAAAGACAGAGATGATGGGTTTAAAAGGTACAGTTTATATAGGAAAGGCAGGATAAATTCTAGATTATTTCCTATATTGTCAGTTTTCCTAACAGTTCAGTTCCCTAATACTCACCAAAAATGATTATTGTTGTTTTTTGGTTTGGTTTGGTTTTAGTTCCCTGTGACATAGGAATTTTAACATACTTGATTTGTTTTAATCCACTGAAGATACTACTCTTTAGGACGCTCACATTACCCTGTGTTTGCCGGGGGGAGCCCCTTCAGCTTGTCTTCTGAGTCCTTTTGCCATTCCCTCCCCTCCGTGGACTATTATAGCCGTTTTGTGTTCTGGTACAACTAGATGTTGCAGACCCATTTTCTTCATTTCCTACTCTAGGCATGTTATCAGCCATTTTTTCTAAGAGCCCTAATTCCTTTTAGTGGGAAATGGTATATGGAAACCACAGTCTGGAGGTGCTCATAATTATGAGGCTGGTCGTTGTTTCTAGGCCTTTTCTATGGACAGAGCATCTTACGTGTTTTCCGTCCAGCCCCGAGTCAGCTATTTCTTCAAGGAACCCTGGTTCTTTTTCTCGGACAATGATGTTTAGAAATGACAATCTCAGTACCATTTTTGCTCATTGCTACCAGGGTTATATTAGTCCTGGTTCTCTGAACCAAGCTGGGAACTAGATGTAGGTATGTGTGTATGTCTGTGCACACACGTACCCCTAACCTATTTCTATGTCTGTATATATTTCAAAAATCATTGAGTTCTTCATAATACCTCAGAGTGTAGTGTAACACTACAGAATTTATTCTAGCTTTCTCCTTTTCCATATTTGCAACTTGCTACTCTGACAGTGAAAGATTAGTCTGATTATTCTCACTCTTACTGTTCTCATTATTCCTGATGCATTTATTTATTTGCTCAGTTCTTCCTTTCTTTAACCAAACTCCTAGCTGGGCCATTGGAAAGCTAAACCCCAGACATGCCAGTCTCCACTTTGTCTGTCAGCACCAGCCAAAATCTTGGCCCCAGACATACCAGCCCCTGTCCCCATCAACTGAACAAGTTGTTAGAAAGTCAATTCTGATAAAAATTTGCAATGAATAAAGTATTACAAAAAGCATTCCAGATGATCTGAAAAACAACTCAATAGGATTTCTAGAAGAGGCAAAAAAATGTCAAAATGGAAAATTCCAGTGGATGAATATGTATATAAACATAGATTACAAATATCTGAGTAAAAGGAAAGGTAGAACATGTTGTCCATAATGGAGCATAGAAAGACAAGAAAGAGTGAAAATATGGAAGATGGTTTACAGGTCAGGGAGGATAGAGCAAGAAAGGTCTAATGAACATTTATTCTTAGTTTCAGAAGAAGAGGAG